ACTACATTCTATAGATACATCATATAAAGCCTTTATATTTAAAATACATGAAATGCATATAAATTTATGCTTTTCATTTGTACCTACCAACTTCATACATTTATAAAATTCTGCATTTTATAATATATTACAGATAATTTAATCTATAATTCAGATAATTAAATCTCGACTAAATTCGTAATAGCCAAAGGGTATAAAAGTCAATACTAATTTGAAATAGATCACTAAACATTATTCTTTATTGCTTAAAGAATATTTAATTTCTAAAATTAAATTTAAACATGAGGTAGGTAGTGAAATCGTCTTTTTAAATAATAATTATTGTAAATACAAATACATATACATTATTACGACAATTAATAATTTCATTACATTATAATATAAAATAAAGAAAATTAAATTTTTTAAAACAAATATATGAACTTTACCAAGAAAAATCTCTAACATTAGAAAAGTATTTATTCTTTAGAAATTTAGGAACACAAACGATTCTTACCTGCAAGAGAAGACAGAGTCGTTATGATGCTGGTAGCGGGAAGCTGGTTTGGGCTATCGGATCAATATATATATACAGAGAGGCAAAACCCACGGCCATAAAAAGAAAAAACGTTATCTGTCTTGAATCAGAACGAGACTCCTGTCTAATCTTTACTGGAATTGTGTGTGTTAAACCACATGATTAAACAACAATGTTTGCCCGATCAGATTATTTGTTTCGGGAACCGATGAGTCTTATGACTTACTCATCCAAATAGAATTTTAGGGACTTGGTCTGTATGTACTGCAAATTTGATGATTTGGCATACAATGGATAATAAGGAAGGGTGGTGGTGGGGGATTTTCATTTGTTTGTAAGGGAGCAATCTTTATTAAAATAGTATATATTTGTAATGCGAAAATAAATAATATTACTCTTAATATATTTTAGTTGAAATTTACTTTCAATATAATTTAATTAAAAAATAAATACTTTAATACAATTTAGAGAAAATTTCAATCTTATCACTCGTGTTCAAAAATTGTATACTAACAGAGATATTGCTAGCGGTTGCAGCAGATGTCCTTGCGTTTCCTGCACCTTCTGTTTCTTTTCGAATTTGTGTTGTGGCATTTTCCTTCTCAGATTAGCAGCAAAACCGTTGTTCTAGATATAACTCTAAGTTTACATCCTGGTGCAACACGTAGGCCGTAGCCGATTATTGCACTCAAGTCTCTATCGGGGAATAGAGCTTTCATCGCTGAACCATAAATCTTCTTGCTCTGCCAGTTGAGGAATATGGCAAAAAAAAAAAAAACGTTCAGAAATGACAATATTCCTCTAATTTGATACTCTGACGTGAAGAAAAGGATGCCCATGATCAATAGAGAGAAAGGTGAAAGAGAAATGTCAATGCAGTTTGTAACTAACAAAATAAAAGACAGCACCATTTGTTTCTAAATTCAACATATCTAATAATAAGAAGAAGCGTCTTTAACTCAAAATAGGAACAAAAGTTTCAAACATGAATGTATTTTCAGGGTTGTCAAATTTATGGAGTCAAACATGATTTCTAATTTTTCAAGGCATTGCCATTTTGCCATCGATGCAAAACTCCGTTTCGAAGCTAAAAATAAATAAATAAAATAGATAGCCATAATGTTCACAAACGATTCTTTTTTTAATTTTAACTTCATCCCTTGAGTACCAAAAAAAGTCTGATGAGGAAAATACAGCATTGTCTACAAACCATGGGAGCTGATCATTATCTTCTAACATTAATGACGTCAGCTGGTAAAGAATTTCTTCTTAAAAAGCCGATGCCATCCGGAGGAGGAGATCCATACGAATCAAAATATTTCCAACTTTCATCATTGATAATGCAGATGGCTAATAGCGAATTCCTTTCTGATGAGTGTCGTCTGTGTTGATAACATAGGCTTGAATGTCTGTAGGTCTTTGATGGGGAAGGTTCATCATAAGCACACACCACAGAATTCAAGAAGCTGCGTACAAACTGAGTCAGCAGATAATGCAGTTACTAGGTATCTATTTCTTTGCTAATTCTTGATATTGATGGTTTTTTAAGGAATTCACTATTTTTCTTTTTACATGTAATAATATGTCGTTAATTCACACGTAACATTGACTGAAAGATTGTCAATACTACGTACAAAAATCTCCCCTTCCCACGAAAGAGACGATAAAACGCATTGTAACAAAGTACATTACACAATGCTGATTGAAGGATTCTCGCTCTTTGCAGGGAATGTAGTACCTGACGTCATTTGTGCCCAATGGCAATATGTTATTGCAATAAAAAAGGGTGGGGTGGGAATTGGGATCGGCATTTTCCTGTGTATGGTACTGAATCGTTCTAATCAAGAAATAAGAGACAGGTACAAATGTATATGCGAAATTGAAGAGAAATGGAACGCTTGACCTGCAACTTTTTGATCAAAATAATCTTTGATTACGTTTTAACAAATTGCATTTTTTAGTGCTTTATCTAATATAGTTAAAGCAAACTGAGGTACCGGTAAGTGATTACTCAGTAAAGTGAAGATAAATTGTGCAAATATTATTCTTCATAAAAAAATTAATTGATTGTTAATCAGTTTACAGAAAAATGAATACACTTGTCATGCCGTTTTGTGACGTTCTAAACGTTCTTGAATATTTACCCCAGAATATCCCTCTTTGCGATACTCATTTAGTGGCAAACAAAATGAGTCAAATTGCTTTGTATTATTCCTAATTGCAAATAAGACATTTTTAATAACAAAATATTAAAATATTAATTATTGAGAGAGAGAGAGAGAGAGAGAGAGAGAGAGAGAGAGAGAGAGAGAGAGAGAGAGAGAGAGAGAGAGAGAGAGAGAGAGAGAGAGAGATTTTATCTTACTTAATAAATAGTGGAGATACCAATTGCCTAGATGTGTATAATTATTTTTTTATCTACAGACTATAGATTAAATTTTAAGAAGTCGAATTTTATTTGCTACGGAACTGTCGATGTATTCAACTCACTCTCTTTTGATATCCGTGTGCAAGGACACACACTGATCGACTTCGGACAATGTACCTAGCGAAGCGATACCTTTGTTTGGTTTGGAGTAAGAGAGGGCACTAAGAAAAAAATCCTAACAAAAGGCAATTATATATAGATAAAGAGAGAAATCAAAATTTACTTTGTTTGATAAGCTAGTTCAAATACCTGAGATGAATCATGAATCCATATGGAGGAATAAAAAAACGTAACAAAACACGTTTGTTCATCGGTTTTCTTTTCAATTATACAATATGCTACTTCGATCGCTATTTCCTATGAATGCCTCTTTCATTCAACAATGGAGAATAAAAGCACAACCTAATTGAAAGGCTGTTTTTAAAAGTACACAAGACAAAAACATGTCTAAAAATCCGTTATGTAAAAAATGAACATTATCTGTGAAATAATTATTTATGTCAGAGCTTTTATTTGCCATGGTCGGCATTTTGCTTCAAATTCGCATATCGAGGAGAGGGTGAGGAGGCTTGTCCTTTTGTTCAGAACTTAGGGCAAAATCTAAGGCGAATTGAGAGATTGAACTCTGTACACAAACTATCAATGATCAGTATTTTTAAATAAAAAGATTATTTGAAATATTTTAGGATTCATGGAGAGATAATTCATTATATCTTTGGAATCTACTATTTAATGAGAAATCTGAGTCAAGTCTATTATATTTATAACATCATGGCGTGTCCTTTTGTTCTGATCCTGGGTCATGACGTCATCGTAGTAAGGGTAAAAACTGTAATCTTTCGTTTCATAAAGGCAGAATCAATAGCGTTCACCATGTTTCGCTTTGAGGTGTAAAACTAAGTCTTACGAGGTTAGAAATAACACTGAGCAAGGTATAAATAACAATAATTGGAAAAATTTGAGATCAGCATGGTAATGGACAAAATACCGGTACTGACGCTACACAACTCTTATGTCACTGGAAAAGTGTACATCCTCGGTATAGATACAAAATGAGCATGTATCAACGTATATGCATAGTAAATATATATAAACACAGATACACAATCAATACCTATCAACATAGATACAAAATAAGTATATCACCATAGATACACAATCGGTATATATCAACACAGATACACAATCAATAAATATCAACATAGATACAAAATAAGTAAATATCAACATAGATACACAATCAGCATATATCAACATAGATACAAAATCAGTATATATTAACAGATACACAATCAGTATATATCAACACAGAGACACAATCAGTATATATCAACATGTATACACAATCAGTATATATCAACATGACACACAATCCGTGTATATCAACATAGAGACACAATCAGTATATATCAACATATATACACAATCAGTATATATGATCATATATACACAATCAGTATATATCAACAGAGATACACAACCAGTAAACATCAACATACATATACATTCAGTATGTATCAACATAGATACACAATATCAACCAATGTCATCTTATCAGCATACCTGTGTTTTAAAATCGTTAAAGTAGAATTCGTAAATCAACCTCTTGCCATACTATAACACTGTAATCCACGGAAACATGGTTTTGTCAATTTTCTTGATTTCATACTAAAACTACATTATCCTCAGTAATTATTCCCCTGGAATATGACAAATATTTCTGACTGTTCAATTGCTTTTCATTTTTGCATATTTTGACTATTGTCATTTTCCTGAAATTTTTCTTCTGTTTTTCGTTTACGCATTATTAATCCATTTGATGAAGTTTATCTCGAAACAATTTGCTAGTTTACTATCAAATTTTTATTTATTTCTGTGTAGAAGTTTAGCCAAGGCCTTTAATATAACAATGCACGTATGTCTCTCTTGTTAAGCTTGAGCCCAACTGTATGTAATAATTTACATTGTTGTTGTGAATTACATAGTTATTTTATTTTCAATGTACATATTAGCATATGTTCTGTTGAATTTGCAAATTCATTTTTCATTGAATACTTATTTATTGTGGCCTACTGGTTAGAGCGTCCGCCTCGGATGTGGGAGGTAGTGGGTTCTATTCCCGGCTGAGTAATACCAAAGACATAAAAATGCTACTAACAACTGCCGCGCTTGACGCTCAGCATTAAGAGGTTAGTGTTAGGTCTGGTCTGTCTGGTGTCCGGATAATGTGACTGAGTTGGATGTCATGCTACATGTCTGAGGCATGATGCCCAAGTGCTAAACATCGCTATAAACTGCTACACTGCAGGCATCGCAGTGACATGATTAAACAATTGTTAAAGCTACTTTAAAAAGCAAAATATCTCCGCCCCTCTCTCTCTCTCTAAAACACATACACACACATACACACATATACCTATTTATCAATTTCTTGGCAACTCAAAAGAATACATTCTTCATCGGGACTTGTTTTCTCTGCAGCAAATTGGTTTATTTATTGACAGTAATGCTCGTATTCTGCTTTCTTTAACGTGTAGCATGTAACGAGTATCAATGTGTTTTATTGCTTTTATTAAGAAAGTGTATATTTATTTGTTTATTAGTTACTCACATCTAACAAAACAATCCCTGTATGTACTGGCTTAAAGCTTTTTCGAAAAGTACTAAAACAAATAATGAAAATCCTTGACCTTAGCCTTTCGTATTTAGCTATATAGAACTCGGCGACGTAGATGTCACCTCATACGAGACTTTGCCAGTATATTGTTCCAAGTAGACATTGTAATTTGATTTCTCATACGTGTATGGCGTCATTCTCAACCCACCTCTTATTCAGCTCTGATTCATTTTGAACTTATCACAAAATGTCAGCAGTTGTATTTAACACTGGATATATTCAAACATAAGTTAATCCTGGTGTTCATAGTTTATAGTTTGTAATAGAGACAGGTCTAATGTCTTTAAAGTTGTCACAGCATGCCTTCGTGACATAATATTTATGACAATTTCTACATTTTGAACGCTCATATTTTTGTGACAGCTTGAACATACACATATTTGATGCTTAAATCGTCATATGATGAGTAAGACGGTTCTATTCGTTGTTTAGCTACCTCATCAAGTATTCACAGTATCTTATTCATATGGTAAAATGTCTTTCATTGAATATCCCAGTCTCATTTTTTTAAATCGCTTTATTGCTTCTGAAAATTTATCATCACTTACATTTTAGGCAGCTGTTTTACAAACTGTTCCAAGAATCAAATTCTGCATCAAATCCTGACTGTCCTTTTATTTGTTATGTGCTAAATATGATAGTTGCTTTTACCCTTGTTTTGTATATGTAAGCATTTGTTTTTTTATGTATGTGTGTGATTTGCATACGCAAGAATTAGCATTTGTTTTGTATATGTAAGCTGTTGATTCCATTGAGGAAATGCTTGTTCAGTTCGATCTGTTTCATCCATCCATCCGTTCGTCCATCCACCCATCCACCCACCCATCCGTCCGTCCGTCCGTCCGTCCGTCCATCCATCCATCCATCCATCCATCCATCCATCCATCCATCCATCCATCCATCCATCCATCCATCCATCCATCCATCCATCCATCCATCCATCCATCCATCCATCCATCCATCCATCCATCCATCCATCCATCCATCTATCTATCTATCTATCTATCTATCTATCTATCTATCTATCTATCTATCTATCTATCTATCTATCTATCTATCTATCTATCTATCTATCTATCTATCTATTAAATACCCATTTAATCTTACATGCCTGATCTTTCAGTCTTTGAGTCTTTCATTCCGTATCGCACACACAGCCTGTAACTACTTGTATGGCTTGAAATATTCAGTAAGAGTCAACATATAAAATATTAAGAATTATTTATCCTTATGCACTTGAAATTATTTTTAAAAAATGCCAAAACGCTTTAGTAATTTTAAGAATTCAAGTCATATTGGGTGGAAAAGGCTGGTTTCGCCTCTGAGGGTTATGGGGGAGGGGAGGTATAGCGTAATTAGCGACTGGTAGTTTACGGAATTTTAGAGTTAGCTCAGGTAAACAATAATATTTTTTTGAAAGATTAATTGATCTCTGATGAAGATAGTTTACAATGAGACTCCAAAACGTGTTTGTGCGTGTGCGTGTATGTGTGAGAGAGAAAGAGAGAGAGAGAGAGAGAGAGAGAGAGAGAGAGAGAGAGAGAGAGAGAGAGAGAGAGAGAGAGAGAGAGAGAGAGAGAGAGAGAGAGAGAGAGAGAGAGAGAGCATGTACTTGGCTGCTTCAGAGTTTCAAAAAATATAGTAACTGGAAAAACTTTCAATTTGTTTGGTAATATTGCTGAGGAACTGAATTTGCTCAGTAAATCTGATGATAAAACTAACGAAAAATTGCAACACAGATGTAGACGTTTCACAGAGAGCAGAATCAGTTATAACTGTGATGCAAATTTAGAGGAATTATATCTTGTTAGAATGTTGCTGAAACGTTTACATCACTGGGGCATGCTCGGGGAACTGTATGTTTCCTTAGATTTAAATTATTTTGACTTCAAGTAGAACTGAAAAGAAGAAAACAAAAATATCTTCAGAATTTTTGTCAAAATTATCCAGATGAATAGTTAAAGGCTTGTCATCTTGCTAAAAAGAGACCGAGTCTTTATTTAATTTAAACTATATCCTTAAATTTACATCTTGAAGTTGAATTCGTCAATAATTTCTTGTAATGAAATGAAAACATACGAATAGGAAGTTCAAATGTGTAAACGTTTTGTATAAAATTTATTGTATATAATTAATTACTTTTTGCGAGATTTGCCCAGAAATTTGCTTTTAAGTAAAGTGTGTGTATCTAGTAATTATCGAGAGTAGTAAATATGGCCACTTTAGCGACAATGCTAATAAGCATTATATGACCCCACCCCCACAGGCAACATTGGCGACAAAATGTATAGCGAAAAGGGGAATCAGCATTACAAAATCCCCACTTGGCCCACTAAAACTAAAGCGACAAAATTGACCCTGGGCCACTATAGCGACAAGACAAAAGGTTGAGTTTTGTATTGGGACAATAGGAATAGAACAGGTGAGGTGACGTCATGGTACTGGACATCGGCGACAATGGCAACGGTCTGACCTGAATATGCACTTCCCTAGGTAGAGGCAGAGACATATATAACACAACCATAGATTGACGAACATCAATCTATCACACGTAAAATATAAAATCGATTAAAAATCATATTTTAGGCAAGATAACAAATATCTTTTCGAGGCATATAAATGGTCCTGAAGAAGGCCATTGGTTTTTATGTTAACACCATTCCGTTAATATAGAGGGCATCACATATGTCTTCTTCTCTTCCTTAGACGTTGTCTAACCTCTGGTTTTTAGATTAAGAGTCGCTTCAGACAGCCTTGTTTCTCCACATAGATTCTTCTTTTCCAACCACTGTATTGGTGATCTTGATGATTCTACATGATGATATGACGGTACTCTTAGACATTTTGGCAGAGTTAAGGAGACTGAAACAAATGTGTCATACTTCTTTATGACATCCTAGAGAAACAGCCCAACCCTGTTAACACACCTACTACACCTGAGATACCAGCCCTAGTGATTTCTACCAAATCATCAACATGAGCGGGTCCAGAAGTAGACCTTGCCTGTGGTAAAGGGTTTATTTAGGCCGTTAAATCGCATTACTTCCTGTTCCTGTTTGGTATTTAACCCCCCAAAAAAACCCCCCAAAAAACCAAACAAACAAACACCCAACGGTCTTTTACATGGCCACTCACTTCGTTCGAAATGAGATAGTATTCATTTTGCCAAAATCAAGTAAAACTCAAAATTTCTTTTTACCCCATGATATACGTGTGACAGTGCATCAGTGTATATCCTCATTCTAAATATTAAAACAAAGAGACACGTTTTGTTTCTGGTCTATTCAGGTACAAATTTTAAAATCAAATGTCACAGCACAACACTTCATAGACATCTCTTGTCTCTTTTTATTCTCTCTGCTTGTTTTGAATTTCTTCACTTTCACAGGTTTTTCCTCATCGTCTTTCTCACTTTCGTCTTGTCTTCTTTTCTTCTCTTTTATCTCTTTCCTGACGTGTCTGGGTTCTTCCTTTCCGGAGGGTAGCTATGCTCCTATAGGACCATGGCCTACACGTGCACGGTGAAATTTGAAGATTTCTGGTTCGACATGCCGTTGGATAATGCAGAAAAATTAGCAGCAAAGTGTGAAATTCTTTGTGAATCAAACGGAAATGACACTATAAAGCCAAGGAAGACGATCGCTTGAGAATTTCATTCATCAAGACAATTTGAAGTCACCCGTTTGGATCGAGTTTAGCAGCCCATCAAAACTGACACCTTCTAATTTTGATCGACAAGATTCAACATAAGCAACAATCCAACGAAAAGCGACGTTGTTCATGACTCACATATCCCTTCCCCAATGGACCTGACGCAATATGGTGTTTTTGGTGGACGACCGTCACAGCCCTAAAGAGTCTCGTCAAAATTAACAACTCTCAAGACAAGGTGTGTACAGCCCGTGCTATCGTGGTGTGACGAATATATGCCGACAAGAACGACACATCAGAATGGAAGAGACTAGAAAACTATTCAACGATTGAACAAAGCCAAACAACAAAGAGAAGCATAATTCCTGTTACAGCAAGCTTAGCTCTCCTGAGACAAAGCATGTGGCATTCCTGAAATGCAAACATTTCAAGACGTCTTAGCTCCAAGTTACACCTTGGAAGTACACCCTTTAGAAGTACGCGGACGTCTTTTGTTTCGTGGCGAAAATTTCAAAAATGAAAAATACATTCAAGTTTATCATCACGATGAACATTACGATGCAATTACCAGTATTATTGGATTCCTTGGATACAGATATTATTGTGGGAAATGTGACTATGGCTATAACAATCGAGAACAACACAGGCATTTTGGATTGAAATGTGAGGGATGTTTAGCTTCTAAACCTTGTCTTGACAAGGACGAGGAGTGCTTTACCCAGCTTGTAGGCGCGTTTTTGTCAGCCCTACCTGTTACCAACAACATTTGAAAACGCAAGGTTCACAACAGAAAATTGCTTGTCA